GGGGGGGGGGGGGGGGGGGGGGGGGGGGGGGGGGGGGGGGCGGTAAGTGGTGTTGCTGGTGGCTCACACCTGTAATCCTAGCTACTTGGGAGGCAGAGACCAGGAGGACTGCAGTCCAAGGGCTGCACAAGACTCTATTTTGAAAATACCCCAATACAAAAAAAGGCTGGTGGAGTGGCCCAAGTGGTAGAGTGCCTGCCTAGCAAGTGTAAGGCCTGAGTCAAACCCTAGTACCTAGTACCTAAAAAAAAAAAAAGAAAAAATCCTCAGGGGCTGTGTCAGCAAGGGGCTAATGCTGTTTTAAACCCACCCACCAAGGCCAAGGATCCAAACAGCACCAGAAGGAAAGGAGCCAATGCTATTAAAAGAAAAATAACATAATCCAGTCTATGAAATGTCAATTTCAGAAAGTATGAATCTAGCTACTCAGAACTACTAGGAAAATGTGACCACAATGAAATGTCCAAGTGATGACGTCAGCATACAGGTCATTAAAACAGCTATCATAGCCTCCACTGTCCGAAAAGGTGGAGGAAAACATAAGCAGGATGAGGAAAGAAACAAAATATAAAAAAGATATAAAGGGAACTTCCAGAAAAATTTAAAAACATAAATCTGAAAAGAAAAATTGCATCAAATGCAATCAACAGCAGGTTAAAAAGTACAGAGGAAAAATTTAAAACTACAGAGGCAGGAAGCAGATCTGTGATGCAGGACTAGGGGGCACTGACTGTAAGGGCAGGAGTGGAGTTAGGGTCAACATGGTAGAAAAATGTCCCAAATCACCATCAGCATGGTAGTTACATGGCTACATGCACTGGGAAAAGCTTGTCAAACTTCACACTTAAAACTGACACTTTATTATATGCAAGTTGCTAGTCTACAAATTTAATTAACCTACAGGACAGCACAGTGAGATAAAAGACCACCCCCCCCCTTTCTGCTTTGCCATTGTTGGGCTGAGAACAATGAATGAACTAAATCTGGAGAAGCAGCCTGAGCTCACCCATCTTTCCCAAGTCTCTCACTACTGTTTACCTTGCTGGGAATTTTGATCCCAGATGTCATTCAGAAACATGCTCTGACTGCAGAACACAGGCATAAGCAACCACACTGAGTTACCGTAACCCACACAGGGCACCCAGGCTCTTGCCCCAAGGCTGAGTAAGAAGCCCCTCTGCCACCACAAGATTCATCACAGCTCCGCCACCTCAGCCCAAGAGCAAGGTCCCCCAAGTACCATCACTCTCCAAATCTGTTTTGTTTTTTTTTTTTAATCATGCCACTTAAAAGTCAAAAAACTTTTACTCAAATCCAGGCAGGGTTCAGCAACAGGAAAAGAAAGGTTTCAAAAGACCTCACTGGGCAAAAATGCTCAAGGCCATGGGACAAGTAACTGTGACAAAGGAGCCCACCACCTATACTGCCCACTCACCAAGGGTCTGTCCTGCTGAGGCAGGAAGGAAGGCTTAGCCATTGAAGAGTGCAAAACAGCACGATGCTCACCTCCCCTCAACAAGACATGGCAAAAAGCCACGAAGAGCATGAAGCAGCCAACCAGAGTGGGAAAAAACACAGAGTAAATCCCATGTGCCAAAGACCTCAATCTAAATACCTGGGAGCTCTGACAGATAGATGATCAAGTTTCTAATGAGCTAAAGGTCCGAATGTCACTGCACCAACAAAGACAGAACAATGCCTTGTCCACATACAAAGACACTCTGCATATGCAGGTGCTGGGGAAATGCAACAAATACACCACAAAAATGGCTCAGGTTGCCAGGCACCAGAAGGTCACACCCACAATCTTAGCTACTTAGGAGGCAGAGAGCAGGACGATCACAGTTTGAAGCCAGCCAGAGTCAAGAGACTCTATCTCAAAAATATCCAATACAAAAAAGGGCTGGAGTGGCTCAAGTGGTACAGCACCTACCTAGTGAGACCCTGAGTTCAAACCCCAGTACGACCAAAAAAAAATGGCTCGGGTGTGATGCTGAGCACACCAAATGCAGGTCAGGACATGGGCAGAGGGTCATGGGTGAACAATAAGGGCCCTTCTAGAGGAGTCTATCTTAGACTCACATGTGCCGCATGACTCAGAAAACTATCTCTCACCTGTACCAAGAAAACAGGTGCTCGAGTGCACCAAGACACCCCTGGTGCCTTCACAGCAGCTCTGCCCAACACAGCCCTAGCACACCGAGCAGGTGAGGGGTCACATGCTACAACGCTCACACCACAGGTGCCACACAGCAGCAAAAAGAACAGATCAGCAACACACAACATGGGTGAGCCTCAGAAGCATGCTCGGTGGAACAGCCAGGCCCAGATGGCCTGAGATGATCCCACAGAACCCTAGGACAGGCATGGCTGCAGAGGCAGAGCATGTGAGGGGCTAGAGCAGGAGGAAGCTCCAGGGATGCCTGCCCTGTATCTTGGGGGACACACTGTCCACAGCCACAAAACCATTAACCACACCCTGAACCAAGGGGCAACACAAAGCCTGAAGATACCAAAGAGGTGAGACCCTCACACCTCTGAACGCTCAGCTAAGTGATAGCTGCACTTCCTTAAACAAAGAGAACATGATTTTAAGTGTGGAGGGATGAAGATGAGCCAGCAGGTGGGCTTCTCAGAGTGCAGTGTTGGCCCAGGGACTTCTAACAGCACACACTCCCATGCCACACAGCACATGAGAACATTTCACTCCGGCAGGCTTACCTGTAGAGATGACGATCATGAAGCTGAAAATAAAGAATCACAAGTTAGCAATCTCAGTGATTTGGACTTTAAGTAACACAGCATGCACATAACATTGACAATTCTCAACACAAGAATGGTGACGGGATGGCAGAGCTGAGCACTTCCAGGCCCAGTGGCCAGACAGCCAACCAGGAGGACCCAGGAAAGAGGCACACCTCACTCTCTGTCAGGCCTTGGTCATGTTCTTCAGGTGGGCTATCTCAGAAGGGAAACTAAGGCTCAGAGAAAGGAAGGAAGAGGGTGGAAGATCAAGACAATCTTCATCCTGGCCCCAGAGTCCGATTCCTAACCTCCTCCTAGATAGCCTCTTGGGCAGAAAACTAATCGTGCCAAAAAGGTCTAAGATATTTCTCTGTTTTCAAAAGAATTTTAAAAAGCACTTCACTGCAACATCATTACAGCTAGAGTTTATTGAATATCTACACATTGCCCCAAATTCCACTAAATCTTTAAATGTAGAATGAGGTCCTGTTATTATCTTTATTTTACAGAAAGGGAATCCTGGCTCAGAGGACTTGCATCTCTGTTCTCTCAGCAACTACACTGGGCTCCTCCAGCCTCACCCTCACCTCCAAGGCTGCCCAAGGATGCCGGGCTCCGCTGCAAAGTGAAAAATGTAAGCAAACTAACCAAATCACCGTGATGAGGTCAGGAAGGCATGACTATGATACGGACCTGAGACTGAACGGCTGGCCCAATGCCATGTAAAGAGTAAATCTTAAGGAAATGAAAAAACTCTTTGGGACAAGAAAGAGTAAAACCACTTAATTCCTTAGGAATGATTTTGAAAGGATCTGAAGTTCATACTTAAACTTCTTTTGAGACATAGCAGGCTTTGAGAATCTCAAAATCCCAGAAAAATGCACACTTCTCCCCAGAGAAATGTGCACACAAAATTCTGGATTTAATCTCAAAAGACTCACAGGTGCACAGGTGAAAACCAAAGATCTTCATGTCATGGGTGCCCCACTCCCTCCCTCCATAAGCACACACCTGTTCAGGACAGAGGGGACAAGACAACCCCTGGGCTGTCCCTTCCTTCCATCCAAGGAGCACTGTCAGGCACCACAGTGGGAAACCAATGCACCAACACAGCCCTGAAACCCACTGGGCAGTGCGGGTAACATTGACGACTCTGGCCACAGGAGGTCTATTACTACTCCCCATCCTAATATGCCCGAGGACCACATGAGTGACTACAAGTCACACCCAGAAACCCCACTGGGTCCCAGGCAGACAACCCCAGACCCTGCCATGCCTCTAAAAGGAGCAGGCCCCATGTTCAAGAGGGCCACACAAACCTGCTGGTGAATCTGCTTCAGGCTCTGTACCACCTTCTCATCCAGGTAGTCCGTGACGGGCCTACAGGAGGTCAAACACAACATTGGGGTCAGAAATACCAAGTCAGAGCCCAGGCCCACACTGAGGAACAGGCGACTCTGGAACATCTGTCCCCGCTGGTCCTGCAGGTGTCTGCAGGGCAAGCCCCTTTCTGACTTCAGATAAAGCTGTGCTGGGTCACAGTGGTGGTTCCTTTAAATCTCTGACCTACAGCCACTTTACTCAAGACAATGACATCTGTCCTGCCTGACCCGCTGGGGCAGAGCATGTTTACCTGGGGGCCTGCAGTGTGCTATGTGGGTCTCAAGTGTGTTCCCGGTATCTAGCACTGCACCATGCCATGCCATGCCACCACATGCACTGCTGGGGAGAGACACAGGCCCATGAGTTCCAACTAGGAGAGGACTCTGCATCTTGTCCATGTGACTTTCCCACAACCAAGGAGGGCGAGGCCATCAACAACAGGCACCCAAGTCACCCTGATTCCGTGGGAGACACCAAGGCTCCCTCGAGTTGGTGGGTGCAAGTGAGGTTCACATCCCCACCTGCTGTCACCTGCCCCAGGAAGCAACCTAACACAATAGGAAGTGCCTCAAATGGCACCTTTTCTCAAGCTAGACTCCCAGGGCCAGGCCAGACACCATGGTGTGTTAGTGAGACCTTACTTTTGAGAGGAGTCAACTGGACAGAAAAGTAAAGGAATCAAGCAGCTCTTGGAACACGCCTCCTGCAGAGCCTCCTGCACTTTCTGCTGTGCTATGATTCTACTAAAGCAGCCAATGGAGAAAACGCTCGAGGGGAACTTTCAAACTTACATCCTAGAGTATTTTAAATTACTTAAGATGACAAATGGGTAAGAATACGAGACAGGTGAGCTGCTCAGGGCTCCTAAGAGAAGGCATCTTGGCTCTCTTTGTGTGACTTAGCACCTGGGGACATGGTGAAACAGGGTGGCAGGACGGCATAGCCACCTCACAGCTGCCAAACAGTGCCCCTAGCTGAGGAAAGGTGGGTGGTCCCAACCACTGACAAACCTCAAAACAAAACATAGGAACCTAAAGACCACGACTATTACAGAGAAACAAAAGTGAGAACAAAAGAGCTGTTCCCAAATCCAAAATCACCGTAATTACATGGCTCTCCAGACAGACCATGAATGAAACAGTCTCTCCTACCTGTCCCTCTGAGCTGCCAGCTTGTACAGGGCATGGACAATCTCTGCACAGGAGAGAATGGCCCCATGCCGCACGTGCAGATCCGGACTCAGCGTCATGGGCAGCAGGGCTGGAAGCACTGCAACAGATGGTGGCACACAGGTTGGCAGACATGTCAGACAGCCCGCCACTCAGATGCACTCCCAGACATCACCTCTGTAGGGTCACGAGCATGAAGGAGGATGTCACCATGCAGAAGGTGCACTCACTGTGGGGCAGAGCTTGCTCCTTGGTGGGGTGCAGCATCCAGACCAGTGCATGCACCCAGACATGGGCGGGTGGCAGGGCAAGGGGACAGAAGATCTCATTTGCACCACTGTCACTAGGTGAAGGTAGGAGCTCTGCCTAAGGAGTGGCAGGAGGTCAAGGCCACATGTGGCCCATGGGCACCTATGCTCTAGTTCCCTCTGGTGCTCAGAGCAAAGAACATTCAGAGAAGGGAAAGCAGGATGCCAAACTGGACACCAAGAATAAGATAAATATCACCATGTTAGCACAGGCTGCCAAAATCATCGTCATGACCTAGAGATGCTGTGTGGGTGGTGCCTGTGCCTGGCACCACCTAAAACCCAGCAGACTTGTTCTCTGACCCCTGACTAAGCCCAGTTAGTTCTTCAGCAAGTGACACAGAACATCATTTTCAGTCACCAGCAAGACAGCACTCCTGACATCTTTCTGCTATATATATGTAGGGGTACACAAGTGTGCAAGTGTGCACAGGTGTGCATAGATGTGCACTGGAGCAAGGTGCCTGTTGAGACAGTGGGATGTACACCTACCATGAGTGGCACTGTATTCAGGCGCTCGTGGGGCCAGGTTGTGCAGCGCCTTTGCCGACAGTTCTCGGATGGTCCTAGGGGTAGGGGGGGCTGTCAGCAAAGAGAAATTTGCACACCCTCATTCATAGTAGCATTACTCATCACACCCACAAAGTAGAAGCAACCCAAGGACACATCAGTGGATGAATGGATGAGCAAGATGCAGAGGCATAAATGGAATAGTCTTCACCCTTAAATGGAAAAGAACTCTGACACATGCTGCAACGTGGATGGCCATCTGCAGCCAGGCCAGACCCAACCCGAGGCCCTAAACTAAGAATGGTTCTACATTTCTATCAGTTGTTTGAAGAAAAAAAAATACCTGGGACAGAGATTTAAGGTATTTACTACCTGGCCTTTAAAGAAAAAGCCTACCAGCCTGTGCAAACAGGTTCAATATGGAGTTAAGATGGGAAACCTAATCTGAGATCAAGAGGACATTTCATAACAACAAAGGTTCAATACATTAAGAAGATATAGGACTGGAGGCATGGCTCAAGCAGTAGAGCTCCTACTTTGCAAGCGCAAAGCCCTGAGTTCAAACCCCAGTCCCACCAAAAAACAATAACGAGAAAAAAAAAAAAAGAAGAAGAAGATGTAAAGATTACAGATGCACAAACATTTAAAACAGACCCAACTCAAAACACAGGAAGGGAAACTGATGGAGTTACAACAAGAAACAGACAACACAGTAATGGTCTGGAGTCTTCAATAGCTCCAGCATTTAATGTAACTCACAGTCTACATATTTACAATTGTGGTTTTAAATAATACATTGGCCAATAAGCTGGTATGATCGACAAGTTAACTAACCCTTTCTGTATTCCCTTACAGGACCTGTGCTCCTAACAAAAGCTTTTGGTGTCCCAGATGTGGCACAAAGGGAGGGAAGGCTTTTCTGGCAGGTGGCCACAGACAGCCTTCATGGACAGCAGGAGGTCTCATGCGAGAGGCTCCCCATGCCAGAAAGCCACCCAGATTATACATTATACACACTGCACAAGCATTGCTGTCTACTGTATGGCAGCTGTAGACAAATAATTTTAAGGCTTCAGTTACTGGAGAAGCTAGAAGGCCTTCCGCAACAGGCCAGAAGGAGCTTCCTGCATGTGGCACCCACTCTGAAAGTGGGACTCGGGACTGACATCCTGACAAGGCCACTCACATCTCCAGGCAGCTGGGTGTCAGCTGACCAGCATGCTAGAGGCAGCAGCAACACAACACACTAATTTTGTGCCTATGATCTGAGTTACACACCTCACTTTCCTTTTTAGAGACACACATTGAACTGCCCATAAAATGCTAAGATACCCTGAAAACTGCTACTATAATTCTGCAACAGCCACCCTAGCCTGCTGGGTGACATCAAGGAGGCCAGAGGGAGCTGCACCTTTCCTGCCCAGGAGGTGAGGCTGCTCCAGCCACCTGACCCACGGCAGTCCTCAGGCAGCAGCTTCCCTGTTACATAGGATACGAAGCATTACATGGGAATAATTACACCTTGAACATACCTGGCCAGAGCTCCAGAACTGAAACTGGAGACAGACCATTAACCAGCATGCCAGGCATGGACATAGGAAATTACATTACTTCTCACAAGTTATTTTTTTTAAGTATGACAAATATAGTGAGAAAATATACTCATAACTCATAGACTCAATTTAATCTCTCCTTTGAGGGAAAAAAAGAATTTCTGAGGAACACAAAAGCATAAAACCTACCCGTCCCAGTGGTTAATTTTCATGGTGAGCAGGTGGTCTATCATTGATTGGGTATACTCTGGGAAACCGGCAATAAACACACTGAAAGAGACAACATTAAGAGGTGGTGAGGTGGCTGGGGACTATGTGGCCCAAGTGGTAGAGCGCCTGCCTAGGAAGAGGTAGTGAGGGTGTGGAGGAGCCAGAACCCTCACGTACTACTCGAGAAAATACAAAACTCACAGTTACTTTCAAAATCAGTTTGTCCAATTCTTCAAAAGTAAAGACACTAACCAGATGACACAGCCATTCCCTGCCTAACAGTTACCAGGGGGGAAAGTGCTCATCCACACAGATTTGTGCATACAGTGCAGCAGCACTATGCCTCTGGACCATGACTGGAGGCAGCCATGACTGGGGGTGACCATGACCTCGGGGTGCAAGCGCCAGAGTAGACTGCCCATCCATGTACTGGACACTCTGCAGCCCAAAGGAATGGACTTTGGACAAGGAAAAACAGTGAATCTCAAAACAATTGTGCTAAGTGAAAGAAATCAGACAAAAATGAGAAAATGCTATTTTACCTCATTTATACAAAAATCCAGAAAATACAAACCAGTCCACACTAACAGAAGCAGAGCTCATGGGCTGACGAATGTGTTCACTTCCTTGGCATATGATGCTTTCATGGCTGTACACTTTATGTGCATATAACATACATCGATTACCTTTCAATAAGGGTGTTAAAGGGATTTCAGAAAATGAAAAAGGGAAGCCACTGACGGGGAAAAGAGCCTTTGGAATACACACAAATGACAGTTTTTATCAGAATATATAGAGGACAAAACCCAAATAAAAAAACTGCCTTGCATTTGTAAAGAAACATCACAAAAGAAGACAAATAAAGGCCAATAAGCATGTAAAAAGATGTCCAACATCAAATGCAAACCACTGAGCCCAGCAGAACTGTGGGGTATTAGGAGACTGACAGATGCCAGGTGTCAGTGAGAGTGAGGGGGAACCAGAACAACCTATATTTCTGGTAGGAACACAAAAAATCACACTGCCACATTCAAAACAGTTCACAGAAATTCCCTTTGAAGTCTTTGTCTAAGACTAATTAAAATTACATCCACGTAAGGATTTCTAATTAAATTTTATTAAAGTTTTATTCATCAGTGAAAAACTGAAAATAGCCTAACTGCTTGCAGATAGATATGATGGCAGGTGATCTGCTCAGCCACAAAGCAGCACAGACCCAGCAATGCACAGGCACCTATAGCATAGCTGGATAACAAGCCACTGCTCTGAGAAAAGGAGCCCAGACAGAAAAGAATATATGATGTCCTGGCTATACCTGTTGTGCGTTCTGTAAAGGGCATGGCTGGTCTACAGTGAAGGCGAAGCCAGTGCCCAGGATTGGGCAGCATGGCCTACAGAGGTGGTAGCAGTTTTGGCATCCCAATGAAGGTGGGTTCCCAGGCGTGCACGTGTCAGCATGTGCTGAACTGCACATGCACAGAGGTATGGGTCATGGAATGCTAGTGATACCTCAAAGTAAGTTAGAGTTCTGGGTGTGCCTCAGTGGGTAAGCACCTGCCTAGCATTCTTCATGGCCTGGGTTCCACCCTCAATGCAAAAATAAAAGTTACATCTCTTGGAAACAACGTGGGAGAACTTAAAAGAAGAAACCAATACATTCAAACACAAAACCCCAAGGAAAATGTCTGCCAGGAAAAACACCAAAAATAAAGTCAAGACAACTAAGGTGAAAGTGTATCATCTATGTATGAAAATGCCATAATGAAACCCATTATTTTGTACAATAAAAAAAAAATGCAGCCAGGAGTGATGGCAAAGGCCTGTAATCCCAGCACTTGGGAGGCTGAGGCAGGAGGATTCTGAGTTTGAGGCCAGCCTGGACTACTTAGCAAGACCCTGTCCCAAAAACAAAACAAAAGGCAATTCTTTAAAAAGACAAACAACAAACCCAGAAAAAAAAATCTACGACTGGTATCACTGTAGACTTCTGTAAAATAAGTGAAGTCTTCCAATCAATAAGGACATCAGAGACTGCAAGAAGCAGCGCCTTTGTGCAGGAAAGGAAAGCAGAGCTCCACAACCTGTCTCGGGGTCTGAGAGGACCGTGGAGCCCTGCTGGGCAGGCTCTGTGGACAGGTATCGCATGACGCAGGAAACTAAAAGCATAAATAGCCCTGGCCCACAACCTCACTTTTGGTTTTGGGGGTTTTTTGTTTGTCTGGCAGTACTAGGGTTTGAATAGGGTCTCCTGTTTTTACCCAAGCAGGCCTCAGACTAGCAGATTACAGATGTGTACCATCACACCTGCCTTGCTCTTTGAGATAGAGTCTCACTAACCTTTTGCCTGGGCTGGCCTCAAATCCTCCCAAGTAGCATAGACATAAGCCACAGAGTCTGGCCTACTTTGGGGTTTCTGGGTTGTGTGTGTGTGTGTGTGTGTGTGTGTGTGTGTGTGTGTGTGTGTGTGTGTGTGTGTGTGTGTGT